AGTCTGTGTCACATTCGGATTTCTTTCGATCGTCTAGGGTCAAAATAAAGGAAGTCCAGATCAGATAACGCAGCACTAATCGTAGACATGGAAATGATTATAAGTCCGAGGAAGGAAAACGTCGTTGAGAAATCCAAGTTTTGGATTAAGGAACGAGTCGTAGAGTACAAAATACAATATTTCGACTTTAATTCAAGTCATGATCATGTATGAGTTGGAAATTTACAAGTGCATTTTTTTTTTAAAAAAGCTATAATTCCCTTGAGGCCTTAAAGTGACACTGTCAATGGCACGCATGCGCGAGTAAACTTGAAACACTAGGCTAGTGTTTTCAAGTTTATGACTCCAAGTTGGCGCGACATAAATCAGATCGTAAACGTAAACAGATCTAGAATATTCCAAAGTGTGTCAAAAGCATCACGAAATGATTTACCTCGAAGGTTATACTTTCAAAGTCCGTTAGAGGTGAGACTGTTACTGCGCATGCCATCCATTGACAGTATCCCTTTAAATCTCTCATGAAATTAAATCTCTTAAAAAAAATAATTGGCACATCTTAACCGCAATGTGTATTTTGCACTTTATAAATGTCATTTTTTTAAATGTATGATTAATTTATAGTGAGAATGTGGAAGTTGGAAATATGGTCTGAAACTTACTCCAGTAGTTTCCATGARAGAAACAATTTCAAAAACTTATTACGTGGGATTCCTGCGGAAGACAACGTCTAAAAATGTCAGTGGGGGAAGGGGGTAGATTTTTAAAATTCAAAATCCCTACCCCTGGTCCACTGGTATGGATCAAATCCGACCGGCCCTCGGGACAAAAAAAACAAAAAAACAAAAAAACAACTGCACAAAGGGACAAGTAATGAATTTGTATTGGTGCCTTTCCCTCACTTGTCTCTTCAATACCAATAATGAGGATTAAGCTTCGACCCAAGCATGCGTCAATATGTCATCGTAGCCTAAGGAGGAGAGTGATAACCAGAGCTGGGTTACTCCGGGGGGATGCTCGACGGATCTCTTAGGGTTAAAAATTTCTGATTGGGAATCTTTTAGGGTACCAATTTGAAGTTTCTGGAAATTTGYATTTTCTGCAATCTCTTAGGGTGTCGTAAAAGAAAAGAAAGAGCGCATCGATATTCATTTTCCTCTGCGTCTTGTTTTGTCATTAAATATTTTTTACATTTTATAGTTATCATTTGARCTAATTAACACATTTGTTGTGCTATCTCTTAGAGGTTAAAAATCAGCCAGCCACGCCCTTTTTTCAAGACTTCCGGGATCTTTTAGGGGTGTTTTTGAAAATTGTCGACGAGCATCCCCGGTATATTAATCCCGGAGTCCCCCCCCCCGGTTTTTTTAGTGTCATCTGATTTATTCTAACATAAAGGCAAAGCATAGTTAACTATATTGGCAGAGTGAATCCAAAAAACCCGTGAAATATATATTACACTAAATACACCTTAGCACTTTCAAAAGAATTTTGTTCTTTTCTTTTCTGTTTATTTGCCTGTTTATCACATTTTAATAATCAAATTTGTTTGATAATACTATAATGAAAAAGACGACCATTTGCAAGGTTTAAAATCAATACTGTAATTATTTGATTGCTACATTTATATTATTGTTATTTAGTTATATACATATTTATTGTTATATTTATTTTTTTTCTGCCTTGTCCACACATGCGGAGTGAGTAGACGTCCTTCAAGTGTGGAAAAGGCTATTAAAATGGTTTTCGTATACTACTAGATAAGTTAACAACAGATAAGTTATTCAATGTGTTTTCCGTCTCACATGAGAATCTCGAGTGAACAACGGCCATCATAGTCACAACATTACAACTTTGCTGTAAAAGTGCAAGGTTTTTGGAGTGCTAATAGTTATTCTTTAATTTCTAAGTAATGTATACTATTAGTATCATACATGCATRCTTACAACAATGGACTACCACGTTAATAAGACTTTTCCAAATAATATGCTTTTTCMCTTCACGTAAAGCACATTCTATCTAATGGTCCACGTTATCTATCTATACACCTAATTACGAAAACGTTGTCCTGAGATTTAAGGATTTAGGAAATTAGGAATACATTAAAAGACAAAACATGACCACTGAAGCCGAACACTTTCTTTTGTTTTTTAATTAATCCATAAATAGTAAAAGTTCTTTTTCTTGGATAATGTTTGTGTAATTAGGTGTATATCTACATTGTGTTCTACCCATGTAAAGTATACTG